ACATTGTTGATCACATGCCATTATATTGTGATAGCAATAGAGCCATCGTGCAAGTGAAGGAACTAAGATCTCATTAATGATACAAATATATATTGCGGCGGTATCATCTCATCATAGAGATAATATAAATAAATGACGTAAATAAAGGAATGAATTCTCATAATTGATAATATTACAAATCTACTGATAAAGAGTTGTTGTAGTATAAACATGATCATCACGTAGACTCTTATGATATTAGACACATAAGTGATTAAATCAAGTGTATGTGTGAGTTTGTAAGTATTATACCCTAGATCAATCAACTTCGAACAACATCACTTTTGATATATAATTTATGCAATTTTGTGGGAAATCTATTATTTAGTTAATATTCAATTAAATTAAATAATAGAATCCATATATTCAAATCTTAGTAATTTGTTAATCACAAGAATTTATAATTGTGAGATAAAAATTACATATGATTGAATCTTAAATCATCCATGGTCGTAAGTAATAACGAGATACGAATATTGTTATTATGAATAGACCATCATGTGTGGAATTTCTTACTTGTGAAGTAAGTATTGATGTCACAAGCTAAAGTGTGGTGACACTTAAATGAACACATGGATATTTTGTTATAAAACAAAAATTGGAGACCCGTTGGGAGATTCCACATGGATAAATATCTAAGTGTCAGTGGTTAATCTCTAATATTCAATAGTAGAATTGGTCATTTGACTTGAGATCATCATAGTGCCTTATATGAGGACTGTCATATTTTGGTGATGTTAGATGTTACTTTGCCATGGGCCACGAATGCGAAATCATTTGAATATGTCAAGAATAGTCAGAATGTTGTAAATGATCAATAGAGAATTTATCACTTTTAGATAATAAAAGATTATGATCAACAATTTATTCAGTTAAGTGGATAATGATATCTTTGGCCAAAGTATACTCATATGTTGAAAAGGAGTTTTCAACTTATGTTGACTTAATAGTGGAATGAAAGATGCGATCAATAATTGAGATTAACACACTTCCATATATCGTAATTGATCAGATCATATCGATGAAAGGGATTACAGTTTCACGGTAAACAAACAATTTTGGTTTTATCATATCAGGTGACATTTCGAGTCACATGCATTGCCATGATACATTACTTGATGTTAATTTGCAAAGACAGATGTGAATTAATGATAAATTAAAATGAATGTTTTCATTTATCAATTTTGATTAGATCAAAATAATAATTCGCTTCGTTAAGTATCGTGACTAGCAACCAAATTGATCACACACTAAAAGAGAATTAGAAAAATGAGATTCATCAATTAATTAATTAACAAGTATTGCATAATTAATTAATTGTGTTGCTTATTAAGAGGACTGAATTAATCAATTCGATTAAGTAATTCATGGACCACATTTAATTGGATTTAGTTGTGAGACGGGCTAAGCTCATTTGAGCTAATATAAATATGCTGCCAGGGTTTAAAAACTGTGGAGAAATTTCATATTCTTGCTAGCTCAAAAAAAGTAAAAATCGTAGTTCTCTCAATCTTATTTCTTGTGTCTAGATAACTGAACAGCTGTGAATAGCAGATTGTGTCGTGATTGTTGGAGTTCAAGAAAAGCAAATGAGTTTGCAAAATTCAATCAGGTAAAATTTCTATCATAGTTTTTATCTAAATACAAAAAAGATCTTTGGTGAGAATTGAAATTTTGTTTAAATTTCGCTATACATGATTAAGTAAATTCTCAACATGTAGTGTACACAACTTCCCAATAGGTAATTACTAATGTTGAGGTTAGAAGTTACAACGATTTAGTATTAATATTGGTTCTGGTGCTGTGATCCATGATAAGTGTATTTTGTACGTACACTTATTTGGATCGATAATTAGATTAATTATTGTGAATTCTAATAAATTAAGGCTTAATTATGCATATATTTCATTTGTTAGATAAAACTTGTTGGAAATTGAAGAAATTAGACAAAGGGAGCGAAAAAAGGTGCTAAAAATTAGAAATCCAAACTTTATGGACCAAAATGCAATTATCTAATAGTTGATTCGGACCTCAAAATGATGATTGATTATCACAAGTGATCAATTGGATGCAATAATTAAAATAAAATCAATTTTCAATTGCACAAGTTATGCTTCAGATTTTTAGTCTTAGATTAAGATATATTTTTGGAATATTAACTGGAAAAAAAATTATATTTCTAGCAGAATTTTTAACCTTTTGAGTTAGTTTTTCAATGCACTTTGAATAGCCTCAATCGAATATTGGGTGAGAAAGTTATGATAAATATATTAACGATTATTTAGGATGAAATCGCACAAACGGACGCACACGAGTCACACTTCTCGACATGCTAAAAGCCAAAGCTTAAAACAACATGCATGCGAGCAAGTAGCTGGTACCCCTGCACGAGCCTAATTTTATCTGATGGATTAATTTTCCTTTTTAGTTGAAAACTCTTTCGAAACCCAAATCAGATGCGATTTTGACCTAATTTTGACTCATATAAATAAAGAATTTAGGCAAAACATTGAACATCTTTCTCTAGCCTCCTAATGCCACATCAATCATCAAATTCATTGGGAAAAAGAGGTCAATTGTTGTATTTTGAGAGAGAAAAATCAAACCCTAGTAAGAATTGAATGCCAATTACATCAAGAAATTCATAAATTCGACCTTGAGATTGAAGATCATGACTTTTACAAGCACTAATGATCCAAGTGATATTTATTCATCATTCTTCTTGTAATTTATTCAAAATCATGAGAGGATGGATCCGTAATTATATTGGATGAAGATGAATCTTATTGTTTATATATTTTCTTTTAAAACTAGTATTATAGTATTTTTTTTCTTGATTAATTTTTCATTCCCATTACATTATTTAATTATTTGGCAATCAATTAAATAATTAGTGGCTTGTTGTAGTGTAAGTTTAGAATGTAACAAGTTTAACGCATGAATAATAGACACTAGGAATAACAAAATTGTATGTGCAGTCATATAGATAATCCAAAAATGCGTTCTAAGCATTCAAATTTGGACTAGAAATAAGATCGAGAATAGAATTAATTTATCTTAAAAAAAGGAAAATACCTTAATTTTATCGATTGACAAGAATGCATAAACGAAACTAAATTATATAATTGAAAATTGAAATAAATAGCAATAGGCGAATTCTAAATTCAATATAGTTATCAATAATTTGATACAAACCCTTAATTTAGAATTAAAAAATTCAACTGTTTTGTGTTACATAATTCGAATTCTATACTAATTCTCTATTTGAATCCCATTTTTTCAAGAATGCATTTTTTCAAATCTCATTTTCAATCACATTCTCCCATAAAATAATTATGCACGTATTTCAAAAACATTTCCTTACTTTTAAACAATCATTCTCCATAAAATAACAATTCTATAATACATTTTACCCCAAAAATTGGGATCAAACAAGGCTTAAGTTAGTAAACTTGAATTGAATTTTATTCTTTATTGGAAGATACTTTTAACTCATAAAATCTATTACTTGTCCACGATCTCATACGCTTGCAGGATTCTCATCAACAATCTGCGGTGAAGCTGGGGCAGTGGTGGCAATTAAGTGTTTGTTTGACATCCATTAACTTATTTCATGGTTTGCTATAGGACTATTTTCAACTACAAATTTACACACTACAATATTCTATACGTATACCAAAAACTTTTTTCTATTTTTGGACCACACATTCTTCTAAGAATCAATATTCATAACTCTTTTTTGGTACAATAATGATTGTCAAACAGGTTCTAAATCGAAGCAAACAGTTAGGAAGTTCTGGATGGAGGATGCGGAGGCTGTTGCACTGAGAGATGGACTCATGTTTTAAAAAGAAGAATGAATTTCAAATTGAAATGGTTGAAAGTGACTCCCTCAGAGTAGTCCAAAGTCTTGAATTGAATTATTTGTCTTTGAATTGTAAATTTCTCTTGCTTGAAACCAGTGGCGGATTTAGTAGTTGGCCAACTAGGACGGCCACCCTAGCTAGATTTGCCGGTGAGATTTTTTATTTTTTTATAATAGATAAAAATTTTAGGTTATATAACTAGTAGTTCATTTTATTTTCAAACTTCTCTTCTGCTTAGTTGGTCAAAACTTCCTTTTATATATTATGAGTCTTGGGTTCGATTCCTTCCCCTCCATTTCATTGTGTGATATTTTTATTTCTACAATATTTACCAAAATTAATTCTCTAAGGAAAGTATTCGAACATATAACTTCTAAAATTATGATAATTGGAAGTTTAACCATCATGGCAATAGTTGAATTTTGAATCTAAATTTAACAAAATAATATATGTTAAGAGTTCAGGAGAGTTTTTTTATTTTTTTATTTTTTGTCGTTTTAAATATTTTATACTTCAATAATTTATAAGATATGACTTAAGAGTATTGAGTTTTAATTTATATATTATTTGAAAATTTGAGAATTTGTCTACTGTGAATTGTGATATTAAAAATTAATTTAAGTATCGTGAAATGTGAATGTGATTCATAAAAATTGAAAATGAGAAATTGGGGAATTTATAATTTGTGATGAATTAGTGTTGAGAATTGAAAATTGAAACTTTAATTATATTTTAAAATTAATTTTAATTACGTTTAATCTTTAATTAACGTTCAATTTTCATATTAATTATGGAATGATTTTTTCAACTGCATTTCAATCTAGTTCTTGTAGTGGTGTATCTAAGCTCTCAACTACTTTTAGTCAATCAAACGATTTGTTAAGCATTGATAACACAGAAGTTTTATGTATCATATAATTTATATTATTTCAAATTGTATGGAAAAATAATATGATATAAATATACGATTTTTACATTTTAGTAAATTTACATATAGATCGAAGAATTTTTACTAATATTTAATTTAATATTAATAAACGATATCTCTATATAGCCGTTGACTATCGACAGTCAACAGTCAACGATTAACGAACGCCCTAACTGAGTCGAAGTCCAGGATTCGCCCCTGGTTGAAACTTGTGAAATGCTATTGTCTTCGGCGTCTGGATTCTAGAAACATTGGTAGCTCCAGAAGCTTATATCGCTGGATTGACGAATGCTTCAAACATCCAAATGGTGCCAAATACATGCCATGCTAAGTGTGCATTTTTTAACCTTTCAACATAGGACAATTAATTCCGGCATGGACCGAAAAAAATAATAAAAAGGACGAAAAGAAGAGTAATATATAGAAACATCCTCCTAAGCTTAGATGGGGAACCTTGTAATTCCCATTGTGTGCTACCATCCAAAGTCCACCTCTTTGACATGGCTTATAAATATCACAGGACAATAAAAAGGCCCATCACAGATAAAGAAGAAATGGCAGATAATAAGCCTCATATCATAGTCTTCCCTTTTCCTGCACAAGGTCATATAAATCCAGCACTGGAATTCTCCAAGTGCCTAGCCTCAAATGGCCTAAAAGTGACCATCATTCTAACCACTATGGTAAGCAAATCTGCACAAGTTCCATCGAACACATCGATCAATGTCGAAACTATCTCCGATGGTACAGAAGATGTTAAAGAACAAGAGAGTATAGAAGGCTTCTTCAAGCGATTCAAAGAAAAAGCTTCCCAGAACTTGGCCAAGTTCATTCGGGAACAAAGAGAGACATGCCCGGCTAAAGTTCTGGTGTACGACTCGACCATGCCATGGGCTTTGAATGTAGCACACCGGGAAGGCCTACTTGGGGCTTCATTTTTCACACAGGCTAGTGGTGTGTGTGCTGTCTACTATCATATGTACACAGGGTTGATAAAATTTCCTTATCAAGATTCGGAGATAGTGTTGCCTTCCATGGTTCCGCTTGGTGTCAATGATTTGCCTTGTTTTTCGTTTTTACCGGATGCAGAGAATACCATTTTAAGGCAACTTACTGATCAATTCTCAAATCTTGAGGAAGCAGATTGGATCTTTATCAACACTTTCGACAAGCTGGAAAATGAGGTAACAAACATTAATCAAATACCATAATCAGGCTTCCTTTGATTTCTTACAAGCGTTGGTTGCCATGTTCGTTTCAGGTACTTAACTGGATGACAAGCCGGTGGCCGTTTAAGACTGTTGGACCGACTTTTTCATTAACATACCCGGGAAAGGAAATTGCCAACGAAAAAACTCATAAGATTAATCTATTTGAACAAAATTATGAAGAAAGCATGAAATGGCTAGATTCAAGAGAAACTGGTTCTGTTGTGTATGTCTCATTTGGAAGTGTCGCAAGCCTCAAAGAAGAACAAATGGAAGAACTATCACATGGCCTTATGATGAGCAACTGCTATTTCTTATGGGTAGTTCGAGCTTCAGAGGAGAATAAACTTCCAAAAAACTTCACTTCAATGGTATCCGAAAAAGGTCTAGTAGTGAATTGGTGTCCCCAAACAGAAGTCTTGTCTCATCGGGCCATAGCGTGCTTTATGACACACTGTGGATGGAATTCTACACTCGAGGCATTGACTTCTGGGGTTCCTTTTATAGCCATGGGACAGTGGGTTGATCAAACGACTAATGCGAAACTTATTGAGGACGAATTTAAAGTAGGGATACGCGTTAAACCCGATGAAAATGGGTTGGTTAGTAGAGAAGAAATTGAAATGTGTATAAAAGAAGTTATTCGAGGAGAACAAGGAAAGAAGCTCAAAGAAAGTGCCGACAAGTGGAAGGAATTGGCCAAAGAGGCCGTCGATAAAGGTGGGAGTTCTGCTACGAACGTTGAAGATTTTGTTTCGAAACTTTTCACTTGTTGAAGATTTTGTTTCGTAACTTTTTGACTTTGTTACTTATGCTTTTCAGATTACAGCTAGGATGGAAAATGATTTCAGAATTTAACGGTAAAATTGGAAATAAAGTGTTTTTGTCCCTCTTGACTTGTTAAAGTCAAATTTGCTGATGCCAACACAGGTCATTCATGACGTAATCTGTGGCACAGTTGGGAAGAAATCAGTCTATTTAACTTTGTAATCATCCATTAATTGATAAAACGTTACATTATATGTCTCTCTCTTGATATCTAATGGCTGTATTTATGTAATATTCCATTCCTACCGCAACCAATTATTTTCTTGGTTAAAATATTAAAGAAAGAGATCTAATGCTCTCACCAAGACTTTTCAATGTTCTAGAAATCAAATAAGACACGTGGTTCGATCAGAGAAATTGGCATCCAACTCAAGTCAGTAACGTTATCTAGAATTAGTGGTGTTTAACTCCAATCTAAACGATAACACTTATAATTGAATTTGAAAATTTAATTAATTACAATGATTTATGGCATATTTAATGGAATCTATGATTTATTTATTTATTATTATTATTTTTTTTTGTGACAGGGGAACTCGCAGCCACTATCCTTCGAGTGCGCACTGAGTAAACCCTCGTACTGACGCAATAGCCTGCAAACCACGTCGGCCAGATAAACCACATTAAACAAGCCTTTTGTGATTGGCTCGACCGAAAAAGTATTGGTAGAAGGAATTAAATTCGTGACCAAAGACCCAAATCTATAATATGTTGATACATTGACGGGTGTTTAACATTATTGGTGGTATATAGCATTAATCATAATAAATTCCATCAATAAAAATCAGGACCAAACAGCTCCAACCCAGAAACCGTCCAATTGAATTCTCCTATTTATTGTCAGGATTGACTTTCAAAACTATGTTAATTTTGAAGTACTGTAAATCTTGTAATCTCCCCATCCCTTATTGCCACCCTTCCTGTGTCATCATACCTGCACCCATTCAGTATATGTCGATTCTTAATATTAATAATAATTATTAATAATAATAATTATCCAAAGCTATGATATTTGGATTTGGGTACATGCACAGGTATTGTGTACGGATATGTATCTAAGTGTCGAATTTTTATTTTCTTAAATATAGGATACGGGAATATAACTAACAAGAGTCCAAATTTCGGACATAGGTATGTAGATATGTCGTTGAAACTTCAATTTTTTGCTTAGATAAATAATTAAGAGGCAAATTATTAAAAGACAAAACATGTTACTTAAAACCAACTAGAAATTTATATTAAAAGTCTAAAACACCAAAAAGGGCGTAACATGAAGCAACAAATTAAAATAAAAGTTAGAAATGACATAATTAATTACAATAGCAGAAACTGGTCCTTAAAATCCATTTAATCAACCAATTCCCCTCCAAATAAACTCATCATCATCATGAATAAACGTCTCTAGTTGTGGCTCATCAAGAGAAAAGTTCCGCCAGTTTAATGGTTGTTTGTTCATCCAAATTAGTATTATCTCCACCTACAAAATGAGAAAAGCATAAACAATTAATGCAAAAAACTAATCCATAACATTTCTTTAATTAAACCAGAATAAAGATGTTAAGCTTATGAAAAACGTATATAGATCCTAATATTTTGTCGGTTCTTCTTTTCACGCCTCTTCATTTTGAAACGTCAAACGAAGATTGACATAGACTGGACAAGATCTTCAGCCCTACTTCTTGTCAATTTATTTCTCTTGATGCTCTGAATGAATGAATAGGTATTCCAAATTCTCTCGCAACAAGATGAAGATGTCGATTGTGAAAGCAATTTAAAGGCCAGAGATTGCAACAGAGGTGTGGAGGTACCATGATTAGCCCACCATGAAATTGATTCTTCAAAAACTTTTGCCTCAATTACATACGGCTGATTAAAATAATTTGATCCACTACAAAACGTCAATTACATAGGGCTAATAAAATAATTTGATCCACTACAAAACATTTGAATTTGGAGACAACCTCTTGAAGCATTTGCTTCTATTCATGGAAACTTCTTGATCCTCATGTAGTGTAATTCTCGGCATTCCATTAGTTCCGTCTTTCAACCAAGCTTCACAATAAAATTTAGGAACTAAAGAATGTGCTGCAATGTGAGATAATGTTTTCTTATTCCATCTATTCTCAAATCTAGACCCCTTCATGCTTAGATGTGATTTTTTTTTTTTCACGTTTTCAATCATCATATCCTAAATATTATATATTGAACGAAAAACAAGAGAATCTATATTAGCAACTCGTAAAATATTAAGAATAGGCTCAGTAAAAGACAAAATCATCCAAATCATCCCACTGTATCAGTCACAATGCATTTTTTCACTTCTTGTACCTTACCATTGATGTTTGCATCCCTATAAACTTTCCGGTCTAAATTCATCACCATTTCTTCTAGTGTCAGCCTAACTTCCCTCAAGCGTTTAGTCATAAGTATCATCCACCCTCAACAAACTCAACTTAGAGTATTTACTGTCTATTACCAATGTCATACCATGATTGACAATAAAATTACTAATAATTTGGACATCACTACCAAATCAACAATCCAATTCCAATTCGCATATTGAGGTGAATTTTAAAATAGACCACAAATAAATTTCAAAGCCAAATTCTATCTATGTATGACAAAAGGAGTCCTGAAGATATGACGATACCTAGATAATGCTTAACTTAGCTGCTTTGCAGTTGCCTGCATTGTCTGTGAAGATTTGAACAATATTTTCTTCTTCAATTTCCTTGATTTAATTTAGAAACAATGTTGCAACATAATCACCATCTTTTATATTTCTACTTGTATCAATTAATTGAATAAACATTATTTCTCTAGCAGAAGCAGCCATAATATTTATGATAAGTCTCTTCTGCCTATCTGACCATCCATAGGAAACGATTGATACCCCTCTTTTCCTTCATGAGTCTCTAATGGAATGAAGTTTTCTGCTAATATTCTCCTTCTCTTGCTCAGGCAACGTAGTACGCAGTATGTTATATGAAGGAAGAGTGTAACTTGCCACGATGCTATTGGCCAATGTTTAGTACTATGCGAAGTAGGGAGATTTTTCAAAGTTGAATGGTAAAGTACTTGCATAAAACATACAGGCAACCTCTTTATCAACTACATCCCTTTGTGCCATGTCGAATGACTTTTCTAAAGGTCCATCTCCTCCCCATTTTTTAATTTCCTCTCTAACAAATTTGAACCATCGAGTAGTGAAATATATTCAGCCGTTTTTCCTTTCATTGTACTCATGTGATTTTTTTTTCTCTCAGCTTGCTTGTGTTCCCTCGTGATCTCTCGCAGTATGTCATTAGTCACAAGCTTACAGCATTGAACCCTACGATTGGAATGTTTTAGCAAATAAGCCTTCACTTTAGAACAGGACCAGATGACTTTCTTGCTGCAGTAGTTGCAATTTCAGGTGCCAATTTCCTCCTCCACCTACTTTCATACAGTGGCAAATCTAGGATTTTGAGTCAGCACGGGCGGTCGTTGATTGTTGACTGTCAGCCACAATAAAGTATTAAGAGTCCGTTTTTTTCAACAAAAAATACATTTTGAAATAATGATTTCATGGAGAAAGTGAGATCAAAAATAAGAAAAAAGTTTTGAATTTGCGTGTAATATTATTTTATTGAAGAATGTATGGTTAAAAATAAGATAGATAAAAATATATTTTGAAAAAAAAATGAAAATAAAACAAGGCCTTTTAAATATAACAATTATTTTGTTCATATTGAACATATATAATTATGTTATAAGAATAAATCATATATTTACCAAATGACATTGTTGCCAATATCGTCTAATTTAAAGGAAGAGCATGATTTTGAATCTTTATAATTTTATTAAACCTAATAAGCAATAGGTGTCACAGTGGTCGGGCTTTCAATGATTATAATGGATGTTCAAGGTTCGAATCTCATCGTACTCCTTTCTATTGCATTAATTTTGGTAATTGTTGTAAACTAAAAAAATTGCACAATGAATTGTTTGTGAAGAGAATCGAAACCGGGACCTGCAAAATGTGAAAACAAGCTCTAACCACTTCAACTACAAGGAGAATTTGGAAGAAAAAGAATTATCAGAAATATAACCTAAAATCTGAATCTATTGTCAACCAAAAAAAAAATGGCTTCCGGCGGATCCAGCTAGGGCGGCCGCCTAGCTCGCCACTAGCTAGGTCCACCACTGCTTTCGTACCCAGAATCTTGACATATTTCCACAATGGCTTATCATCAAAAAAATTTTTACGAATAGATGGTCTTACAAGTTTTTTTTTTTTTTTTTTGTGTTTCTAGATTCTCTTGCAAAGAGCTGGATGGTTTATTTTGAATGCTAAAATAGTCTAATGGAAGAAAACAATAATGGTGGAACCGTTGGAGTGAAGCTTGAAGAGGGAAATGGAGTTAGATTGTTTCTTCTTCCAATAAGATCAATTGATTCGGTGGCCCAGTTTATAAATGGTCCAACGAGATGATGGTTAAATTAAAATTAGTAATTATATAGTTCGAACTTAGAACGTCGATCACCATAGATATCTGCAAATATTATACCCTAAAATAAAATTAATATTTATATAGTATGTCCAACTTATGAATGTCAATCACCATAGACATCTACAAAATTATACACAGTAGACCATTCTTTTTGTTTGGAGACTAATTGAGTTCAATAGTGATTATCACCATAGATATCAGCAAATATTATACCCTAAAATAAAATTAATATTTATATAGTATGTCCAACTTACGAATGTCAATCACCATAGACATCTACAAAATTATACACAATAGACCATTCTTTTCGTTTGGAGACTAATTGAGTTCAATCGTGATATAGTGAGATCGAATCTCTTATAAGATCAACTACTACTGCAGATAGACAAGATGAATCGATGAATGAGCAGTCTTGTCGTCTGGAGTCTAGTTGAGTTCAATCGTGCTAACGTATGATCACATTTCAAATCATATAAGATCAACCATTATCGTAGATAGATCAAATTTGTTAATGTTTTCACGATCCTAAAAAGAAGTTCAAAATCGTTAATTTTTTTTTTTTTTTTTTTTTTGGTTGAAGCAAATTACACAAACCTCCCTCAGAGATTTATGACAATTTTGGCGACATTCCCTCTCGATACAAAAATTTCAGAAGCCTGTCCCCTTAACATAAATTCCACATTCTCTCTATGCTATACGACATATTT